TATATGCCCTATAGAAAAAGATTTTTTAGAAAAAAAAAAAAAATATATATATATATACACACACACACACACACACACACACACATATATGTGTATATATATATATATAAATATAAATATGGAATTGCATGAACAATGCTAACTCCTACAAAATAGAAATACTGGAGATCACAGAGAACATCTGGTTCTCAGGCCACTGGGTCCAGCTCTCAAACTGCAGGTTTGTGTTTTGTTTTTGTTTTTTGTTTTTTGTGGTTTTTTTTTTTTTTTTGGAGAGGTTTTTGTTACAGGGTGCGTGCGCTCCCCAAAAAGACAGAGACAGAGAGAAAGCAAGAAATCACCCCCCAGTGGGGATGGCCATGCCGCAATCCCTTCTCCACTCTTTTCTTGGGATCTTGGGCATGTACGCACACACGCCCGGCGTGAGTTTTAAGCCACCAGGTCCAGGACGCCAACCATGGGCAACTACATGGGAGTCCAGTGACATAGCCATTACGCTAACTGCTGGTCTCTCAAACTGCAGGTCTGACCATGTGAAATTCAGTGTCTTAACCACCATGTGACCTGCTGGCCCTGATCCAGTTCATGTTTTAAAACAAATGACTTCTGAATGAGGAGTAGGTGGGAGCAAACATTTTCTTAGAGAGCAATTTGTGTAAAGACCCTAAAATGTACACCCTTTAGTCTTGTAATTTTTAGATGTTAATCCTAAAGAAATAACCAGTATTACATAAAAAGATTTTTATTTAAAGATACTTATCATCAGCAATATCACAAATCTGGAAACTTGAGTTTTTCTTTTTTTTTCCTTTTTTAAAAAAGTTGCCGTAGGGCATGTGTGTGCTTCCAAGACAGACAGACAAAGGCAGAGTGAGAAATCATCCCCAGGGTAGATGACCACACTGCAATCCCTCCTTCTCCATTCCCCTCTTGGGATTTTAGGCACATGCACATGCACACGCACACACCCAGCATGATTTTCAGGCTTCCAGTCCAGGACTCAAACTGTGGTTGGTCCTGTGGGAGTCCGGTGCCTTAACCACCACACCACCTGCTAGTCCCAGTAATAGCCATTTAATAGGGGAATTGCTAAATAAATAACAGCATACTATTAAACTAGACTATTATACTGTCAATAAAAATGAAAATGCAGGAGAATATTGTAGTGCATGATACAAAATGTTTTAATGTTTCTATTCACAGAATAAAGAGATATTGGAAATAAATATGCCAAAACATTCATAGTTATGTTTAAATTATGAAATATAAGGAATTTGTTTCTTTTTCTTTCGTTTTATATTTTTTCCAATGTTGTAAATTAAGCAAGTGTTTAGTTTATGTCTTCTACTTTATTTAAGGTTTTATATTTTATTCATCAATGCCAAATTTATTCTTTAAATATATGTATCTATGAAAGTTTCTTCTCAAAAATACTACTTGTCATACCTACTTATAAAACTAGGACAAGGTGTCAAATATTTTCAGGTGGCACAGTGTTTTTGCGTGTTTCTCACGTGTTTCTACTTTATTTATTTTTATGTAGGCCTTTGCCTGGTGGCCTGATTTACTGGCTGAGCATGCAGAGAAATTTTGGGCTTTATTTACAGTGGATATGGACACTGCGTTGGAGGCTCAGCCACAAGACTCCTGGGATAGTTTTCCTCTTTTCCAGCTGCTTAATAATTTCCTCCGAAATGACAGTGAGCACTTGCATTTTCTCTAGTGGGGAGACACGGGGCGGGGCTGGGGGAGCGCAGCGCGGTCACACTGTGTGTATGAATGTGCATGGCAGAGCCTGAGCCCTGACCCAGGATGAGCTGACATGGGCAGCGTTAACAGTTGCTCAGTCTCCGAGGTTATACTCCGCCAAGGTCTGCAGAGGCCAGCTACACTCCTAGGTTGCTCCACTGGGCTCTGCAGTTCTTTTATTCCCCGGCATCCTTGACTTCACTGAGGACTAATAACGTAGGCATCCTTCTCATTGTACCTTGTGAACCAGGAAATCTACACACATTGGTGTTTCTAAAACACTTGAGACTACTTAATTTCTGAAAGACAATTTAGATACTTACCATTATTCTAAAACTCATTAAGTTTAAGCTCCATACTATTGGGCTGACAGTGGATTCATTTGTAAAGATGGTAATGTTATATTGCTATGTGGTATGGCTTACTTTTTCAGTCCTTAGAAATTAAAGAGAAGGTAAAGATTCTCTATCGAGACTTCTTTCCCAATGCAATAAATTTTACAGTTATTGTGGTAGATGGTCCTCTAGCCACTAGTTCAAATTTAGTTTTTCATGAAGATTTTAACATACAAATTCCTGGGACTTTCCCATGATGATTTATTTCCTTTTCATGAAATCTCAAGTTTGATTCTCACTGAAAGCCTTGGTTTCAATACACACAGTGATCAGGGGTCGCTAGTTCTCTATTCAGTGAGATTCTTCCTTCCAAAACCAGGTTGAACTCTACCTCCTTCTAATTCCAAGTTCCAACTCATTCTTTTTCATCAATCCAACAGTATTTTCTCATGGATTTTCTTGTCTAACCCATGATGCACAGATCATTCAACTCTTCTTCACTTTCTGGATCTTCATGCCCTTTGCCCTTCTTACATCTTCCTCTGAACAGACCTCATTCCATGTCTCAGAGTTAGTGTGGCACTGAGAAGAACACAGTGCTTACCACGCCACCAGAATCATCCAGACCCCTACGAGAGGTTTATTAATTCTGGCCTGTCTCCCTGAAGCCCAAGGCTTCCCTCTGAGGAACATCATCACACTGATGTTCCTGAAATATTTACAACTGTCTGTAAGTTAAAAGTCTAAATCTTTGGACTAGCAAGTTCCCTGGTGGTTAAGGCGCTGGATCGATCCCACATGGCCGACTTCACACTTCAAGTCACAGACCAGAAACGTGTGTGTGCATGCCCAAAATCCTGAGAGGAGAAGACATTTACAGGGTGGCCATCCTCCTGGGGGATGATTTCTCACTTTTCCTCTCTTTTTCTCCGTCTCTCTCTGCTGAGTACACACTCCCTATGGCAAAAGTCTAAAAATAAATAAAAATTTTAAAGATCCAAATCTCTTCCCCCTTCCCACTCAGGCTATTACTGCATCCTCCTAGTTTTAAATATAGATCATTATGTTTAGGTATGTCTTTGTTTTAGGAAAAAAAAAAAACTATTGGTTTTCTTCATCACTGTAGTCCATTGCCCCTTTACCTTTCTTTGTTCATCCCTTGGAATCACTGATAAAACTGGGGAAAATTCACATAGACATAAAATTGTATGTGTTTTGCAGGGATCAGTTAAGAAACTCAGTTCTGGGGAGAGAGGCACCATGCTATAGTAATTACTAACATGGACTTTGGTGCTGGACAGACTCACATCTCTCTGTCACTTACTGACGTGACCTTTGACAGTAATTTAACCTCTCTAAGCTTTAGGTTCTAAAGGAAGGAGGATAATATTACTAACAGTATTATTGATTATGAGGATTAAGATGATAACTCACATATAATAGAGGGTAAATGTATATTATATATAATATATATTATATAAAAGTACAGTAAAATTTCAGTCTTGATTCTTTCAGTCATCTTATTCATTCTCCTATCCAATTTCATTTCATTTCCAAAAGATGCTATTATATAACCCCAAACTAAGCTATGACATTTCTACTTCAGATCTTCCAAAAGGCTTCTTCTCAGAAGTTGCTAAAAGAACCCCCACATCCATTACCCATATGTAATCATTCAGTCTGCAAACTCTTTTTTTGTTTTTGGGGGAGATTTTTAGAGAGGTTTTTGCTATAGGGTACATGCACTTGCCAGAAAGACAGAGACAGAGAGATAGAAAGCAAGAAATCACTGCCCCCGCCCCATCCCAAGGGGGATGGCCACGCCGCAATCCCTTCTCCATTCTCCTCTCAGTATCTTGGGCACGCACACATATGCGCCCTGTGTGAGTTTTAAGCCACAGGGTCTGGGACGCAAACTGCGGTCAACTACATGGGAGTCCAGTGACATAGCCATTACGCCAACTGCTGGTCCCCAGTCTGTAAACTCTTATTCATCTAGTTTTTATGTTCTAGTTTGGTTTCCACCTGCCAGCTAGCAGACTTTGAATGACCCTCTTTTTTTACTAGTTTCCTATCATCATTCATTTTCTGCCAAGAAATGATAAGTTAGATATTTGGTAGAATCTAGAACAAATGTATAATAATAAGCCTGCTACAAAAAAGAAATAAATACATGTGTTAAATATTGTCTCTAGATGAGAATAAATAAGTGTAGGATTTTTTTCTAACTCTTCTTTTTCCATTTGAATAAAAACTCAAGAATCCACCATATTTAGATTGATGTGGGGTTCTTTCAAAAATATTTATTTATTTAATTCCATGTGTCATCATTATTTTGTTTTTATTTGACTGGGGTGTGGGAAGAGAAGGAGAAAACAAGAATGTAAGCCACCAGGTCTGAGACTCAAACTGCCCTTGGCCATGTGTGAGTCCAGCACCTTTAACCATCATGCCACCTGCCGGACCCTATGTTTTGTTTTATTTTGTTTTGTATGTAAATAAAGCATTTACTTATGTTCACAGACAGTTAATTAGTAAAGATAATGAATCATTGAGCTTATTTTAAAATGTTACAATTTATTTTATAGAAAACACAAAGCATGTGATAGATTTCTTAGAAATTTTCTTGGGAAACTTCCATTCCAACTCCACTGAATCTTTTTATATTTATCTTTAAGAAGAGTTCTTTGGAGCCAGCAGATGGCATGGTATTTAAAAGCACTGGACTCTCCCATGGCCAACTACAGTTTGAGTCCCAGACCTAGGGGCTTGCTTTCTCACTTTCCCTCTCTCTCTTTCTCTCTCTCTTTCTCTATCTCTGATCAAACTGGAAAATAATAATAATAATAGTAATAAAAAATAAAGTTAAATAAAAAATAATTCTTTACCCAAAAAAAAGAAGAGTTCTTGGATTCTAAGAAAAAATTTATGGGATTCCAAAGTAAGAACTATAAAAAATTTAATTTCAGCCAGATTTTTCAAATATTTAACTCATAAGAGTCTCATATTTCTCTACTGTTATAGACCATTTCCTTAAGCGTTACTACATGAATAAAGTATTATTTTGTGCTCATTCATTGTACAACACACAATTAAAACAGAAGCATTTATTATTGTTCTCAGTGTCAATTTTGAAGGTAAGTCTAAATGTTGGCTTGATTCTGTAGTGATTAAAAGATTTTAGAAAACATCAATTATTTCTGAGAAAAACAGCTCCTCCATTTAGTGAGGAAAATAGAAAAGTTCCCTAGTGCCATAATTTCCTTTTGGTACTGGGAGTAGAGTGTGATCTGGGGAATTGAAATCGAATGCAGGGACTTTCATCCCAAACTCACAAGTTACTATCCAAAACTAAGACCACTGAATAACATCTCAGTACTTGGTAAAACTGAATTTTTCTAGCTATTAAGATCACCCTTAATAATAATGATGAAAACTATTGTTAGTAACTGTGTATTTGTTGTATTATATTCTTTAGATACTCAGATTTGATTCTGGTGTATAATGTCAACTGAGAGTTGCCTCTAAATAATCCTTTTGGAAAGCGATCAAAAAAAACATTGAACTTCTAACCTTTTAACATCCTTTTCAAAAAAGAGCCTTACATTACAGCTGCAGCATGGCTGGTTTTTACCGTATTATCTCTATTAGAGTCTAAATTCCAATTAATTACAAATGTAGCCAGAGATAATAGGAACACAGAATGCTGAACATCCATGCTTAGAAAGGGAGATAATTTACAGATAACAGTGCTTACTTACATAGGTACAGTCTGTGTGCCGGAGTGTGCTTTGCGAATTAGTTTTGTAAAAGTAGTGATTTATAACTAATATTTATGTTTCCTCTTCTAAAATTTAAAATGACCAAAACCTTTCAAACTGATATGAGTTAGAATTTGTACTTTATTTGTGGTTTGAAAACTTTATAGAGGAGTTGTCGTTTTGGTTTTATTTTGTTTGTTTTTGCATGTGTCATTTAGATATTTCCACAGGTTTTCTGTCATCATTCTTTTATCCAAATCTTTATGCTTTGATATTTAAGGATGGATGTTTATCTTTTGGAGTATGGACATGGTCTTAAACCTCTTCATTTTCCAGCTGAGGAAACTCAATTCCCAAAAGACTGTGGGCCTGGCATCGGGAATTAGGGACAGAGGTGAATTGGAACCTGATCGCATTGGTCTCTAGTTCAGTCTTATTCCGTAGTAACCAAAGCAAATTCTGAGGGCATCTATAAAACAATATCATCTTTTTAAGGGAAGGAAGAGATTCCTGGAACTTTTATTTTTAACTCAGAAAATATTTATAAGGGCATTTACAAGGGAACAGAGAATGAGAGTTGGGTAGAGAACAGAGGAAGGGTCAGATAAGGTATGTATTGTGTGGGCAGATTTGTTAGGAAGCGTCTGGCGCAAGACTTCCAGAGAGTGACCTAATTAGTAGGGAAGAGGATTCCAGATAACAAATTCACTTTCTATTTCAAAGAGAAAAACATATTCCGTCTGAGGCGTTATGTGTCTTCCCTTGCAGTTAGCCGTGATTAGGGAAAGTCGTAGCTGTAAGAACCCTTGGAGATGAAATATGGTTTTCCTCCAGGGAAGAGTACCAGCTGCACCA